TTTCCAGAAATTTAACTTGTTCCTAAGTCTGTGAACTAGGCAATGTAAAGTAGGAGTCTGAATCCCAGTTCTACTGCAATTTGCTATATGAGCTTCACTGAATGATTTTTTAGGTCATATGTGATGGTTAATTTGTGCATCAACTTGGCTAGGCCAAAGCACCCAGATATTTGGTCAAACATTATTCCAGATGTGTCTGTGAACGTATTTTTTAGATGAGACTAACATTTAAATTGTTAGAATTTGAGTAAAGCAGATTACCTTTCATTCCGTGGGTGGGCCTCATCCGATCAGTTGAAGGTTTTAAGAGACAAGACTGTCCTTCCCCAAAGAAAGGGGGATTCTGCCAGCAGAAGGTCTTCAAACTCTAACTCTTCCCTAGGTTTCCAGTCTGCCAGTCTACCCTGCAGAGTTCAGTCTTACCAGCTCCACAATCACATGAGTTGATCTCTTAAAACAAATCTCTCTCGTCTCTCTCTCTCTCTCGGCCTCTATCTCTGTCTGTTTGTCTGTCTCTTTATATATATATATATATACCTAATTTCCTATCGGTTCTGTTTCTCTAGTGAACTCTTACTAACATGCCACAGTCTCTGCTTTGGTAAAGTGAAAATAGTAACCATACCTAACTCCTAGATTTACGGTGATGATTAGGGAGCTTAGCATAGCACTTGACATCTAATAAGTGCCCAGTAAATGCCAGTTATTCTTCTAATTATTATTTATCATAACTTAGAGGCTTTGTTTGTCCTGCTCCCTCCACCTGGTTGCCACCCTAAGTCACTTCATCTGAAGAACTCCTCCAGGATTCACTCGAAATGCCACCTCTCCTGTGAAGCCAGCCCACGCTGTCGCCTGCCAAACCATCACTTGTCTATTTACATATAGTCTTCAAGAAGAGAAGGCAAATGACTCAAAAAAGTCCTCCAGGTCAGACTTTAATCTTTCTATTTCTAGCACCAACCCGAATAGCACCAATTCTCGATAAATATTCCCCGAATGAATACTGGGAGATGTCTTTACTTCTTGTATTAGGGATGGAGGCTTTTCGTCAAATCTATGTGTCTGTGTGTGAAGTGGGCAGATTCTCTGATTCGTGAAACATTTATCAAGTGTCTGTTGTGGGCAAGGATAGTGTCAGTTGCTTCAGTTTCAGTTTTCAGAGGCAGATGATTTATTAGTAGAAGTGGGGCAGATACTCAAATAAGTGAGGCTTAGAGTAAAACTTCCGAGTGGAAGGCATGAGAAAATAATGTCAAAATATAGAGGGGAAAGTTATTTTTTCTGCCTGGATGAATCGAGGACAATCTTTTATAGGAGGTAATATATAAATTTGGCCTTGAAGAAAAGGCAAGGTTTGGAGGGGAAAGTCATTCCACGTAGAAGGAACAGAGGTCAATGCTCAGGTATGTTTGAAGAATGATAAGTGGTCCTTATTGTGTATAACTTAGGGGAGGTTTGGGGGCAGCGGGGAGATAACGGATGGGAAACATAAGGATCACGTTATTAAGACGTGGGAACACTAGAACCCTAGCCTCATTCAGTGGGTGATGAAAACTTGGGGAAGGCGGTTCCTTTGATTTTCAGTGTATGACGTTTCAGTAGAAGCTGAATGCTCACATTTTAACAGCAACTTTTAGTCACACTCTGACCCAGGAGGCAAAAGAAGCAGGAAAAGCAAATTTTGTCCAAATTTTGTCCAACGTCCCCAAAATAACCTTTCTGACCTCACAAATAATATTTAACACACAAAAGGACTACGTGTCAGGTGCTGTTCTAAGTGTTTTATGTGCATCAACTTGTATATTCCTCAGAAATAAGTGTTTAATTGTTCCCTGTTTTACAGATGAAGAAGCTAAGACAACAGAGTGAAGTATCTTGCCCAGACTTTGACAGCAGGCTAGCGGTGGAGCTGCTAAACGACACAGGTTTGCACTTGGCCCCCAACACGATGTCACGTGCAGCGAGGGCGCAGTTCTTTCAACACTGCAGCTTTAAAATAAGAAGATTAGGTGGCATAAAGCATGCATCATTTTCCCTTTCCTTTTTTATTCTTCTTGGTTGAAAACAACTTCTTTTTTTCCCTCCTCTCTAAACAGCACACTTCAGAAGTATCTTGGAAGCCACGGAGACGAGTTAAGCTCTGTATGAACAATTGTTCCACCAACGGAAAAAATGCCTGCCTGCAATTCTTCACAATCCTCCGGCAAGCCAACCCGAGCAGGTAAATGACTCCGTCGTGCCAAGGAGCCAAACTACTCCTTCCCTGCGACTCTCTTTCCAGAATACAGAAGAGACTTCAATACGTCCTACCAGGTTATTACAAAAGAAACCAGCTGTTGCTTAGTTCATTATATGGCAGCTGACACCAGATTTTAAACACAATAAAACAAAACCGTGTATACCTTTATTTTCAATGTCACAGAAACCTTTTCTTGCTTTATTCTTTGATGTTAGGCTGCGGGTACGTCCACCGCTGCTCACTGTCTGATTCTAAGACTGCACCTGCTCATGCATGCCTGTCTTGGACCCAAAGAATGTCAAGTGCTAAATTTAGCACTTGGAACAAAGAATAGGAAGTTTTGCAACAAAGGCAGTATTAACTTTTTATTTTTATGCTCTTAAGGAAACTATGTCTCTTCTAAATTTTCTATGTTCAGCAGCTCTCATAGGTGGTGGTGCATCTTAGTGCAATGAATGAAACACAGTAGAAGCAGAGCATTCTGACGGTGCTATTCTACACTGCCGCTTTTCCTAATTTATTCGCTCATTCACCGTTTGTTTCTTTGGGGCTTGGTATATGCCATTTGCTGTTCCATCATGAGATACTGGGCACCGTGGGACAGAGACACCTTAGTGAGATGGTTTCTTCCTTGACAGAATTCGTTTAACCTACATGAAAAAGTCTATACATGTGCTTTAACACAGAGGAAAGTCTGGTAGCATCTCAGAAGAAAAGTAACAACCTTTTCGGAGGCTGTAGGAGTTGGGGATTGATAAGGAGAGATTGTCTAAGTCTCCGGATAAGCTAGACATGTAGCCAGGTCAAGGTAGATCACCCTATGGGAAGGTCTCGAGCACTTTCTCTGAGCGCTTGAGAGATGTGCAATCCATGTTTATAAAGACTTCGCTTGCCACCATTTCTCTCAGTGTTGTCTTTGTCCCTGGCTCCCATTCTAACGCAGCCCAACAAGTTGTGACAAGTGCATTCTACTGAATAAGGACAAAGCTTAAATCAGATGTAAATTTCTTAATGCGTCCTTTCCACTTACTCACACTTGCCATTTATATGCAAATGTCAATCTTTTCTCTGATCTTTCTGCAACACTTGGTCCCACCAACTTTGCCCTAACCCAGCCTTAGATAATGGAGAGCTGTGTTAACTCTGGATCCAGATTTAACTGTTTGTCCACTCAGTAACGCAAAAAACCAAAAGTCTTGGGTCATTATTCTTCAGGAAATAGCTCTCGTAAAGATGTACATCAGAGTCCGTGTGATAATGGAATCATAAACTATGGGTGTTAGTCAGAGTGCTTAAAGGTAAATTTCCTGGCTGGATTTCCGCATCCATGAAAGACGATCATTTTTCAAAATCTCCAGTTTAGCAATCTGATGCCTTTGGCAGAAATGTGCACTGGTGGATTACCAACAGGCTTGTTGAGCACATACATACCCAATCAGGACTTTTCACTAATAGATGCATCGGCATTGATTTTTCTGTTTTTCTTAAATGCTTATTTCTGATGAAATCTGTCCAGCCTGCTCAGAGGATGAAAGCTGAGCTCTGCATTATTCGTAGCAGCTTAGGGTGAAATGAACGCTTGCCTACTACTGTATGGCTCAGTGCCCCTGTGTCATAACTATGCATGCCATAAAAGCAGTGATAAACATGATATATTTTTATGACTCTGAATGCTCTATGTGTCAATAAAATATTTTTTTAAACTGGATGAAGGCTGCAGTGAACCTGCCTCCCTGCTGAAGCACTGAGTCCCAGTGTCCCGGCTCTGATTCAGCCCGAATGGCAGAATCATCAATCGTCTGTGATGAAATTAGGTGCCTAGTGCTTGTGGCATATGCAATGTTTTAGTCCTAATGGTCTGAGGGTTTTTTCCCTGATACGCATTGAGAAACGCTTCCCTTGCTTCTTGTTGGGGAAATAGATCGCAGCCACAATCGACCAGATGAGCTAAATGACCTTTCCTTATTTGAAATGCCCTGGGATTTTACAAGAGGAAAAGATCCATATACGCAAGAGGAAGTGCAATGTAAACTTTTCAAAGGCACTTTAATAGGCTGCTTTTAAAATATAATTTAAATGTGGAGGAACCCCGGTATGGAATAATTATATTGACTGAAGACAAGATGTCTTTCAGACTTTGGAGGCACGGCATTATTTATTCTGTAGCAAACAGCAAATAAAAGATGCTGTCAATAGTATTGCTTATGTCTACACAGGGCTTTGTATTTGCTAAAGCATGTTATGTTTAGTTCTTGCAATAATATCCAGAAGAAGGAGTTGTGTCTTATTCCATTGTATAGACAGTGAGCTTAAGAAACTCCACAGTCAACAACAGAGTGTGCCAGGATGGGTTAGACCAAAATTGTTCTTTCTGTTACCCGCCATTGTCTCCCCAATATTTTAGTAGGAGTAACAATGAGCCATTCTATAAAGTATTTTGCATGTAGGACAATGAATAAGAAAGTAAACTTTAAATGGTACGCTAGTCACTGATACGACCATGCCCTTCCGTCTTTACATATAAAGGTCAACAGCAAACATCGCTATATTTTTGCAATACCCGATGAGGAAGACATTTTTATTTCTCAACTTGCAAGCTTCCAAAACAGGCTGAATGAGAACACTTTCTCTGCATTGATTATGAAAGACATATGTTTCATATTTCCCCGAGTCAACTCTCTGTACCTGGGTACCGTTGTTGTTAGGGATTTGATTTTGTTTAATTTTGTTTTGTTGTCGTTGGAGATAGCTAAGTGGCTGTGAAAGGAATTAGTGGTTATTTAGTACTATTCATCATCCCTGTTACACAATTCAAGGCCCAGGGCTAACCGCTTCACATCTATTAACAGCTCAGTCTCCCAGCAGCTTCCTAAATTAATCTGCTTGCCAAAAGCATCCTCTGATTCACAGTTCAGAGGGAAAGGAAATCCTCCAGTTCCCTGGGATAGTGCTCATTAGCATAGGGCACATATAGACATTGCAGATCTCCTCAGATTTGCTGGTATTTACATACTATTTGACATGCATTAGGATGTAAAGGATGGGCACTCTAAAATGTTAGCCCGCTGGGCACATGAACTGGAATCAAATGCGTACTGTTAGCACTGCTTTCCTGTTCAATTACACAGCGGTTTGGTTAAGAGCGGAGTTGACACAAGCCTGCCAATCCCCATTCTTTATGACAGTCAAATGTCAAGTACGTTGCAAGTGAGCATTGGCATATGACAAATCGATACAAAATCAGTGGTAATAAGGGCCTTATGGTTACACACTTAGATGAGGATAAATGAAACTGTAAGCAACGAGGTCAGGGCAGATTTTAGGTTCAGGCTCCTCCGGTTCTTCTTAGCAGATATGCTGTTTTCATTCTCCTATGTGATAATACCCTTTCGAACGTAAGTCAGCTGAGCCACAGTCGCATCCAGCGTTCGCTGTTCCTAAGCTTCTCGATGATGCAATGTACTTAACACCACGTCCAGATGTACTGTGATGCACGTTTGGTTTACTTCATTGACGATGGATTCCAAGTACAGAGCAGTGAAATGACTTGGACTTCAAAGAGAGTGACAAAGCGTGTGAGATCAGCAGTAAAAATCTAGGCTCATTAATTACAGAATTCAGAAATGTTCAATTTTTGGCCCCTGATCTTTCATGGTGGCTGGAGTTTTGACGCCTCTCACCTGAGCGAGTGTGCCAGGAATGTGCAAAACGTCTTCCAAATGGCAGAAGCACCATTTGAACTGAAGAGGAGTCTTCGGGCATGCCATATTCTGGGAATACAGACGTGATCAAATAATTTGATTTCTCTGAGACTGTTTTTATTTTCTCAGGTAACAGAAGCAAAATATGTATCACAGTGTTTGACACATGTTGAGATTTCTGCATATATGAAGCATTCAAGATACAATAGCAATTATTCTTAATTTGCTTTTCTTCACCATCATCACGATGGAATATTGGCAAGGTCTTAGACCTTTTTGACATAGATCAGGATTCACATACCTGTCATTCTACAATTACTCTGTGTCTCTAGAAACATCTCTTGTCCTCCCAGAATCTCTGTAATTCCATGTAAAAATTAAGGATAGCAGAATTATCTAGGTGCAATATCAAAGAATAAGTAAGCAGTACAGTACAGATCACATTACGAATCAATAAAAATGAAAGTTATAATATTTATTAAATAACAATGTATATTTATAAATATATAATTTTAAATAGATATAACCTATGCAATATATATGTGCTATGATATATGAATGAGACATATATTGAAATATTATATTATTTATTATTATCATTATTATTCACATTTATGAAGGACACATTTAACCATGTATTTTTGCCAGTGAACTATTTCTACTCTTATTTTTAAATGCAGAGAAATTAGCAAAGTGATTATAGTTACAAATCTTTACCAAAAAAGGAGTAAAGAATAGAGATTTTAAAA